TTTAGAACAGCGTACTATGTTGCAAAGAGTGAACTACCACTGGCAAAATTTAGCAGTCTTTGCAAACTTCAAAAAGCAAATGGCCTAGATCTTGGTTCCACTTGTCTCTTACCCGTGACTTCAGTGCAAATTTCAAATTCAGGATCTGACACAGACTGATTGATGTCCTACACAGTTCTTACAAGTTTATAGAAATTTCTCTTCAATTAGAACCAAGTATTTGAGTTGATGATTGTAATTTTTATACAATGTTGTAATTTGTGTTTCAACAATTTTTTGATTGTTTTGTTTCCGTTACAATATTATACATTAAAGTATAATATTGTAAAGGAAACAAAACAGGAAACAAAACGTCAATCAAAAAATTGCTCGCTTTTTTATTCGGGCTACTTAAATTTATTTTGGGCTACCAAAAACTGAAGAGTCCCTGCCCGAAGGGCTACCAGGGATTTTGAAATTTTGCGAGCCCTGAACGTGCATCACTAAAGGAGAGAAAACTTTAATACAAGCCAGGTCTGTGGAGTGGAGCGGGGGCTTATCATAAGTGAAGGACAAGTGGTTGTTTTTCTCAATCAGTAGAATTCATATTGTCAGTATTTGTTGTAAATGCTGCCTTTTATGAATGCATTTAAAATGTGTTGTGGGATTGTGTAGTGTGGCTGTTACCGTGGGTTCTCCCACCTAACTCGCTTGGAATGAAAATAAAGGAAAACGCTGGCTGTGGGGATACGTTGGATAACGACAGTCATGCCACTGAGTTAAATCGGATTGCGCAAAATCCGTGCAGCAGTGAGATATGAGGCGAGACCATAATCCACCAGTCCAGCCACAAGGAGGCAAAAAAGGCAAGGCAATGTATGCAGCTACCGAGGAGCACCGCAACCTCCTGCAGGCCCGCTTACAAACTACCACCACAAGTCGACAAACAGCGGCTGTAAGGAAAAGCTGATCGCTTACAGGTTTGTTTGGGTTTTGTTTTTTACAACAACTCGGGGTACATACCGTGCTTTATATGTGTGGAATCCGTTTGTTCTGATGTGCTCAAATGAATCCTCACGAAGAACTTCTTGCAATCTACAGCTTTGCTAACGGAAAGGAAACGCTAACCACGTGACCCACCGCAACGTGTTCCGTTTCAGTGGTCTGCCTTCAAAATAAAAGGACGAAGGGAAACGACAACTTTCAAGATAATCTTAATTCCACTAACGCAATCCATTCATCATCCATCATCATCATCATCATCTTATTATTATTATTATTATTATTATTATTATTATTATTATTATTATTATTATTATTATTAGGAAT